TGCACAAAATCATTGGAGTGTGGTGGCGGATTTTGCAATTAGCGCTCAGATTTGGCACCAAGTGGTTGAGTTCAAAATTTATATTTTGTAAATTTATTTAGGAAACACTAAAAACAACATTTGGTCAAGTTGTAAAATGTTTATTTATTTTTATATACATATTCTCGAGACAAGTGCATGTCTAAGTGCGATACTTGGAGGTTAAAAATAGTATAAGTACGCGAAATTAAATCATCACCGTCAACAATAAATCAATTGGGATCGGTCAGAGTTAGATTACTTTTTGTCTGTTGCACTCAGATATGATATACAATACTTGTAGATCTGTTGTGTATTTATTTATTTAATTATGATATTTTTTCACGCCAAGTTGAACCGCAAACAAATAACAAAAAGTCGGCAGATGGTTTCTTTTACAAATATGCGATTTGAATAAAAAGTGTGAAATGTTGGATGAGGTTCTTCAAAACGTTTGTGACAGACTTGGAGAGGAATTAAGAAATCCTGTCCAACCGTCAAACTGAGAATTTTTGAGCAATACTGATTTTTGATTTAATGAAGAATTATAGTAATATATATTATTTATAGTCTTGCCTGTAATTTCTTCTACATTTGTAAAATCTATAAGAGTTCAGAAATTTCTAAATTGTCTTCGCAGATTAATTTAAGTTCAATACTGAGGCGGCCTTAAGAAGCTTCTAAGCTGTTAGTTAATAACAAAAAGAACTTTTATTTTCTGTAGGCAACTGCGATCAACAACAAGCTGTCCTGAAATGTAACTGAGTGGCAAAATCTGCACAAAAGTGTATTCAATAGTCGATCACACAACTCAATAGAATTCGTTTATATTTTTGTTTATGTGTAGCGGGCGTAGCAAATGCAAACATATAAACTTAAGTATCAACAGAACTAACAAATAAATCAATTGAAATGTCTATTAAATATCAATTTCAATAGTTAAGTAGAATGTGTGGAAATTTATTATAAATACTGACAACCGTGCCATAACTCAAAAGATATTTATGTTTTACAGACGCCAACGACGACAAAGAGCCCGCAAAGCATTCTGCAGGGCATGACTATTAAAGTATTTAAGCACATACACATAAGTACATATACAAAGATACAAAGCAACATCAAGAAGATTCCTGTCGCTTTTGCTTCCTTATGGTTGCATTGCACGCACAGCGAGATGGAAAAAATGTAATGCTTTATAAAGTATGAAGATTCATTTAAATGTGCTGCGAACGCCCAGCGAACGCATGTCGTTGTCAGTCAAAATCAATGAACAGATACAAAAGTATCTACGCGTATTTATTTGAGTGTCTGTGCGGGTTGATGCGAGAGTACATGTGTCTGTGGATGCTCTGCTCTCTGTGCGTACATTTCCGTATTGATTTTAAACGTTATTAATGCATTTATTTTTTTTAATTTTTTTATAAATACTACTGAACAGAGCAGTTCACTGTTTGCAATCAGTCTTTAAGCTTTTAATGGATACATGCGGCACAGTTTCAAAAAGGAAAAACATTAAGGCAACGTCTGCAGTTAAGAATGAGAGATATTATAGGTGTATGCTGGAAATTTAAATTGTACGGCGTTTAATAAATTACTATGTAATATACGTTTTTGCGTTAAATTTGAGGTTTTGTTTGCCCTTCCTCTTGGCCTGAGAATATAAAACACAGTGAAACATCCTGATATCCTTAAAACATGTTAACCTAATTTGTTTATCTATTGTCACGTGGAGGGCATTTAAACCACTTTCATTTTTTGTTTCCACAATTAGAAGTTTACCTATCTAAACAACGAGAGAATAAACAACAACTTTGGGTGCTGACGCAAAATGAAAAAAAAAATATACTAGCGCAGCTAATCAAACTAAACAAATGATAAAATATGCAAAGAAACTAGGTATACGTCGTGTTGGGAGCACTAAAAAAAGCTTTTAAAAAAAGAGACATGATACGCATTCGTTGATAGGCATGTGCGACATTTTACGCATTTCGAAAGAACGCCGGCTATTTATAAAACATAAACAAAATAAAGACAACGGAGTCCATTCTTGATAATGTGATGCTCTTAACGGGTAGAAATATATAGTAAAACAAATTATTATTATTTTTTTTTTTTTTTTAAATCATAGAAATAAGAGGAAAAATATTACAAAACTGAAAACATCAGATTGTTTTTATTTAACACTATAAATATAGTTGTTTGTTCATTTATGGTGACCTGCATTCATTTTTACAAATTTTAAAAACTCAACACTAACAATTGTACCACATTTGTCGGAGAAGGGTTAAACAGAGCAGAGCGCACTTCACAGCACTTAACAGAGTAGCAGCAGAAGTAGAAGCAGCAACAACAGAAGAGGAGACGGTGGAGGCTGCTTCGGTTGGCCGCCAAACTGTCTGCATATTTGGGAGCGCAAAGAAGCGAGAGAGGAAGAGGCAAAGATTATGGCACTCATTTGCTCATATGCATAGATTTTAGCATTTAAGCATTTGTCAAAAAGTTTGAACAACTCTTTCTCTGTAAACACTTAAGGGCAACAACTTCAGTTGGAAACTGTCATAAAATGAACGATGAGGCTGAAGAAAACCAATTGTACATATGTTTGTACATATGCTGAGTGCGTGCTTAGAGCTTTGAAATACCGTTGATTTTTAATTCGTTTTTATGGCCCTACCATAGACAACAAACAGCAACAACTACGGCAGTGAAACTTGCGGCTGAACTTTTTTGTCTCGCTTGCTGCTGATGCGATGTATTTATACTCTGTACATGAAATGTACAAGAGTATATTAGGTTTGCGGGAGCTGAAAAATGTAACAGGCAGAAGGAGGCGTGGCAGACCCCACAAAGTATATATATTCTTGATCAGCATGACGAGACGAGTCGATCTAGCCCTGTCTGTCTGTCTGTCCGTCTGTCCGTCTGTCCGTCTGTCCGTCTGTCCGTCCGTATGAACACCTGGATCTCAGAGACTATAAGAGATAGAGACACCAAATTTTGCACGAAGATGCGTTATGTGTGTATTCTATACGAGTTTGTTTTATTTTTTTGATTTTCCCCCCCACTTCCCCCCTATGGGGGTTTTCCCGATTTTCCATTCGTATAATCGCCTATATCTCGGAGACTATAAGACCTAGGAACACCAAATTTTAGTCCCAGATGCCTTATGTGAATACGCAGAAAATGTATATTTTGGAATTCCCCTCCCTCCCCCCTCTACCCCGCAAATCGTAACTCCCGTAATTCTTGGAATTTCGAACTAAAATTTTGGAAATACCCCCAGTTAGTTATTATATGTCCGTATGCCAAATTTCATTATGATAGACCGATTTAACAAGAAGTTATAGCCATAAATATATTTGCTGATGCAGCGCTGCTGCAGCGCTGCTCAAGCGCTGCCCGCGGCTGTTGTTGATGTTGCTGTTTGGTTGACTGCGAAAATGCTTACACAGACACGAATTGATGCGCATAGGCATACATACACTCACACAGACGCAATTGCTATGTAAATGTGCAATTATACACCCTTTACGTGAGTTCGAATACCGAGAGAGGTAAAATCGATCAAATTTTTTTTTTTATTTTCTTAATTTTTTTTATTTTCTATAATTATTGTAAACATATGTACAGAGTATTTCAAAGTCGGGACACCCGACTTTAGCTTTTTTACTTGTTTTTTGTTGTTTTTGTTTTATTGTGCTGATGACCTTAAATTAGGCGTAGGTCTTTAGTTTACATACACACCAACACACACACACACACACGATAGCAAACATATGTATGTATGTGAAAAAGTAAGCGTTGCTTTTGTCATTGTTTGTGTTTTTGGCTTATGGTTGCCAAGCCAAGTTTGTTAAAACGTTGGCTCTGTTTCTTTATTATTATTATTATTATAGTTGTTGTTGCCTTTTGTTTTTGGTCAGCTGTTTTTCTTATTTTGCTTTGTTAACTGCCATTGGCCTTAAGTTGTAACAAATATATACATACATGCATGCATATAGTATGTATGAATGTTTATAAAAATATATTACAGACACACGCACGCATCTTCATCTGTATGCATGTGTTGGCCATTTGGAAGCCCTACATGGCCAGCGGCCAACTAGGAACCAAAAACAAGTAGAAACAAAAAACATAAGGCTCTTTAATGATCATAATTTTGTTTAGTTTTTCCCATAAAAGCGAATGTGTGTGTGTGTGTAATAAAAAAACCGCCATAGGGCAACTGCAAATGGGAGTCAACGATTGAGAGAGCGAGGAAGAGAAAGGCAGCACGCGGGCTATAACTTTATTCGAAGGGGAGAGGTCTCTCAAAATTGTTATTACACAATTAGTTCTTAAGGGCATGTAAAATGTTATTTGATTTAACGAATTGCTTTTAGTTTGAGGAGTTCTTTAAAAATAAGTGCAACTTGTTTTGAAAAATATAAAGAAACTGAAATTTAATGATGTGAATTTTCAAACTCCTTCAGATAAAAAGCACTAAGACGAATATACTCGTACATATCTTGGCTTATCGAATAATAAACAATACGAACTTATCAAAAATTATGGTGAAGCTTCCTCCGAGCTGGCCATATTTGCACGCATGCTGACTCACGTGTGTGTAACAATTTGCAGAGATTTTGTTTTATCGAAGCAAAGTTCAAAATGTTAACGATAAGCGGCCAGAGATAGGAAGTAACGACAAACTCTCAAGTGTCAGCTCTCAGATAAAAATTTGCCAAACAGCAGCATAAGATAAACACAAAAAAAAAACACCGTTAAATGCAGAAAAGAAAGATGGAAAAGCAAGAGCAACAGCACTGTTGTTGTTGTTGTTGCTACTTTTAAGAGATAAGGATAGCAATGAGAACGAAGGAGATGACAACAGTTGCAGTTTTTTCGGGCCTACAATAAAAAGAGCGAGCGCAAGCAATTACCTTTCGAATGCGAATTATGTAATTGATTTTGTTGTTGTTGTAATTTGCACACAAACACACCTTCTTTAGTTGTTTCTTATTCGCCAAAACGCTTGCCTTGCTGGTACTGGTTTGATTTATTTTGAATATCGGTTTTAATAATTTTTAGTTGTTGAATATTTTGATTTGTTATTTTTTCTCGCTGTATTAGTCACATTTCTAATGCATATATTTATTTAAATCTTTTGTAGCACTCGCGTTAATTGAATTCGGCACAAACACTCACGCACACGATTTTCAATTGTTGTTGAAATTCTTCAATATATTTCAATATTTATTTTGCAAACTTTTTTTCTTCCTAAACTCTGCACGTGGTAGAGTTTTTGAGATAAATGGCGCACACTGTAGAATATTTATATAAAGAACGAAATTAGCAAAATTCTGTTTGTTTCAAACAACATTTTTAACACATTCAGAAAAAAATTTAAATTTGATTTTTAAAACGGAACCTGTATAAAACGAAGCAGGAAATAAAATGTCAGAAAGATTGTAATGCCGATTTGAAGCAGGTAAAGAGAAATTTAAAACTGCAGAATTAATCAAAAGAGAGTTTAAGAGAATTTAAGATTTATTTTCGTGGCCTCAAGTCATAGAAACGGCGTAAGAATTAGGAAAGGAAAATCATATTTAAAAAATAAAAACAATTAAAAAAACAAGGTTTGATGCGTTCTAGTTGTTATGTGCTGCTGTTTTCTTGAATTAAAAAAAGATAAGTTAAATTAATCATAAGAATTTTAAATCTACAGTATTATTACGAATGACGTTTGTGAAATACAAATTACAATTAGAAATGTGTAAAGGTATTTTCTGATTTGGCTATAAAAATTTGATTGTAAAATGACTTTAAAGGTTGGTCAAAAACCACATTAAATTTATTACTTTGTATAGGTAATTAAAATTGGCCTCAATTGTTTAACATTAAAAACTTTAACAGGATTTACACATTAACATTGCATTAACATTTTTCTGTCCTCTGAATTCCAGAGCTGCACTTCCTTCTCAGCAGAAGTTATAAAATTTTGCGTCATAAATTACAATTTTTGTTGTTGTAATGTTTTAACACATTTTTAAATGTGTGAAATATTTTTATTACATTTATTGCCAATGTCAATAAACTTCTAAATTAAAATACAATTTCAAATGTTTGTCACTTGCTGTGTAATTGTGAGGCTTTTTTACCATTGCAATGTTTTATAAAATTTTATTGGTATGAACAAAATGCAATTTTGCGACACGTACTGAAATTGTTAAAAAGCGCTTTTTATTGTTATTATTTTTTCTTAAATTTTTTTGTCGTCAGACAGAAATTCGTTAAATATTCAGGCGATTGGCTTATAACGGCGCATTCATCACAAAGCAAGGCAAACAAACAGAGAAAGAGAGTGGAGAGATAAAAAAATGCAATTACATTTCAAAAAGGTTGTTTCAAATCGAAGACAACAACCACACAGCAACAGAAACAGCAGCAATGAAAACAACAACGAAAACGAAACGGGTACAATGCCGACGCCTCTGCGACAAATTAAAACAAAAAAACCACGCATTCGCCACACACAAATAAAAATTTAATGAAATTAATGTATTTTGAATGAAACAATTTACAGAATTTTTGCATGCAATTTTTTTCACGGAAGGAGTAGCACGCGCGCGCGTTTTCTGCCACACTTTATTGGTTTCTTTGCTTTTATGTTTATTGTCGATTTCGTTTAATCGGCTCGACGTTGGAGCCGCCTTGGGGCTTGCCTGCTTGCGTTCGTTGCAAATGAAAAACTTAAACTGATCGAAAATTTCTACGTGAATGTCTCAGAAAGTCGAATTGAACGCTGCTACGGCGCAGCGTCGTTAATACAGCAGCGACGGCAACGCGCTGTGCTGAGCGCCGACCCCAAAACCATGAGCGAGCGACGGTGTCCGCGGCAGCGCTATGTTAACGTCGACGCTCTTGTGTAAATTATGCTATTAATTGCGGCGCAGTCGCGGCTTTCGAGCCGCTGCGTCGGCGTTTGTTTGTTAGGCGCTGACGTCAACGTCAACGTACGCTCTCATGCTCTCTTGACGAACGCATAGCACAGCTGTGAACATGTGCGCTTTCCAGTGCTTGTTGTTGCTGTCTCGTGCGACGCTGCATTAAACTTGTTTGTTGCAAGCCGGTTTTGAGATCAGCTCAGAGAGTGAGAGAGAGAGAGAGAGAGAGAGGAAGAGAGGTCGTCTTGCTGCTAGATTTGTTTCCGTTGTGTGCAATGCTGTTAATTTAGCGATTTTAAATCTGACTTTTTTTTTTATAAAATGACAGCAGTTAAATAAAAAGGCGTGTGTTTTTTCCACATTCACAGGGTGTCGGTTGTATTTAAACATAGCAATACTGATACCCTAATGCTTTGGCATTTTAAATATATTACTCACTACACGCTATTCAATTTGTTTTTACTTTCAGTTATCTTTTTTTTGATTTATTTGCCTGTGTATTAACCTGCTTGTCGTCTATTTCAAATGAACATTTCTTAACCCGCACAAATTTGTGCCATTTAACAAGTAAGCTTTGAAAAGGAAAACCCAAAGACGTTTCTTGAGGCAGAAAACTATATTTTGGTATACAAATAATATATATTGTAATTAAATGAACATTATAAGCATTCTTGATATATTTGTGAAATTTGAATGTACATTAATTGCAAACAGTAGAAGGTAGTTATGTATTCTATATTGCGGACTCTACTGCTTTATTGAAAGATATTGTCAATAATTGTTTCAATTGAAGGTAAAAGATAAAGTGAATATTCAGATAATTTTTAAGGCTATTCGACTAAAACTGTTTTCTTTAGTTGCCTTTAGCTCTTTTTTTTGTAATTGAAAGCTGGCAGCACTGGTGGGCAGCTTTAAATTAGCAGCACATGCTTAGGTACATGTTGCGCGCGATCACACTAAACATGCTGCAAAGGTGTGTTGCTGGGGCTGTCAATTGTTGCACTTCTAATGCGCATGTGCAATGAACTTGTTTTCAATAATTAAAGAAAAAACAATAACAACAAATGTGGAAATACACATATATACACACACACGTGTGTAGTTTTATTCAATTCATTGTAGTTTTATTTATTTTTTATTTTTTGGAGGTTATTCAGTTCGTTGCAACAGAATTTGTAATTGCGTTTACATTACTCATACGGCGTATGTGACGGCGGCAAAGTAATTAACTACCCAGCACTATGCATGTGGCCGACGACTTCCTGCCCAATTCTCAAATGTAGGTCACACAGGGCTTGAATTGTGGGGCGAAAGTGAAGCCAATAAGTAAGGAAATCTGTTGCAAGGCCCCAGCTATCCAAATAAGGCAACGACTGCGAAGGTGAGCTGCATTTTTGCTGTTGTTTTTGTTTTCGTCTAGAATAGAATTTTCACCTCCCAACCTTCAGTTGAAATGTTGCACGACAATTGGTAATAGTTGTTGTCGCCACACACAAACATTTAAACATAAATGCCAGTGCTGTGCACGTGACAAAGAACGCAATTCGGGATTCACACACAAAGCATTAATTAAAAAGTAAGAAATATTGTAAAAATTCTAAGGATAAATGAGTAGGGTAAATATATATGTATGTTTAAAAATTCAGCTTAGTATGGGTAAAACAATGGGCCTCCTATATTTGTTTAAAATACATACAATTTTAAGGAATTTGACCCCATGAGGAAAAAGTATTCCTTTTCAAATAAGTTCTCATGATTGTTTTGTTTTCAATGTAGAACATTATAAGGAATAGAAATTCTGTTTTAATAAGTAAGCATAGTATCGAAGGAAGTACCTATTTCTCAACTTCATTAACATTTTGTTTCAAAATTAATACAGGGAAAGGAACTCTTTCTCTTGGGATAAGTAATCATAGTATCGAATTAAGTAATTGTTTCTCATTTCCATTAACAATTTATTTTCAATTGCCTCATGATGGTTCAAGAGTAATAAATAAATTCCCAATCCACAGAATTTTGTGAATTTTTTTAAAGTCGTGAGTTTCTTCATGAAATTTTCGGAGTTGTCACGAACACGCACGTAAGCCTTGACACACACCTCTAATAAATACATACGCCAGATGCTTTTGATTTTGTTTCTGCTTTACTTATAGGCATATTTATTTTTTTTACGACCAACTGTTTTCGCAGTTAAGCCTTGACGCTGCTTAAATAGAAATTATGTAAATTTCTGGGCAATTTTCCGTGCTTTTGCTTCTGTTTCTGCTTCTGTTTGCTTCCATCTTCATCCTTCGCTCGTCACAGAAACTGCAACATCATGTTGAACGCTCGTTCTGTGTTTTGGCTTCAATATAAAGTATTTAGCCTTCAGAAATTATTACTCAATCGATTAAATTGCACGAAAAATTTAAAAATGTAAATTTTATAATGTTGTGCCTTGGCTCTACGCAAAAAATGCAGTTGCTTGTTGCTTCGGGGCGAAACACCGTAGCTCGTGTTTAACAAAACTAGCGTTTATTGTTGAAGGCCAACAGTGTGTTGCATAATTGTATTTAGAGAAATAATTGATATACAAATAAAGAAACTGAGATTACTAAAGAAAGCACGCTTGCCAAATACAATTCTTCCATAGATTGTGATTTTCAAACTCCAGTACAAAAAGTTTTTATTAAGTTAACGTTTGTTAATTCTCTTCCACACGATATTTGATTAAAATGAGCAATCAGAAAAGCTTAGAGATATTGCACCTGCATATCAAATATATAGTAGGGCTCGGTCTTCCATATTATCAGCAATATTTGTTACCCAACTGCTTATAAAACAAAATACGAACCTACACATATAGTACTATATATTTTAAAGTGCTAATCTCCTTGGCTTACTTTTATTTTGTTTATTTTTTATTGTAAACAATGCTTTTGTTTACAGCCACAAAAATGCAAAGAGCTAAGGAAAATATAAATACATAAAAATAAAATGTGTTTTTTACACATAAAAATTTTGAAATATACAACCCATGTGGTAAGTATTTCATTCTATTCGTCACATGGCCCAACACTTTGAAAGCCAAATACTTTATGTTTTTTTTTTTTTTTTAGCTTTGAAGTGATTGTAAATGTTAATTTATAGATTTCCAATGATTGTTAGGCTAATTGCATGTGTTGTATATAACTAACTATGTTTGTACTCAGCATACTTGTATATCTACTTATGTGCTCAGCAATTTGCCAGATTCGCGGCTAAGCAATAAACGAATAATACAAGTATAGTATAGAGAGAGGAGCTCAACTTGCTTGCGGCATTCAACATTTTTATGGCCCGAAATTCAATTAACCAGCAGTAATCTAAGAAAAATATACTTAAATGTGAATAAGATCTGCATAGAAGCTAATTGCTATATATCGTAAATAGAGTCAATGTTTTTATAGCCTGTACCCAAAGGGTGAAAGGCTATACTAGTTTTGTGCGCATGTATGTAACACACAGAAGGAGGCGTGGCAGACCCCACAAAGTATATATATTCTTGATCAGGATGAGAAGCCGAGTCGATATAGCCTTGTCCGTCCGTCCGTCTGTCCGTCTGTCCGTCTGTCCGTCTGTCCGTATGAACGCAAGGATCTCAGAAAGTATAAGAGCTAGAATAACCAAACTTGGTTTCCATATTCTCCTAAGACCGAGAAAGTACGAGTTTGAGTTTTTTTTCGATGCACCCCCCCACTCCCCCGCAATTCATGTTTTTTCTTATAACTTCCGTAATTCTCGGAATTTTGAAATCAATTTTGGTAGGTACATCCAGTTAGTACTAATGTGTCCGTGTGCCAAATTTCATCATGATAGGTCAATTCTGAAGAAAGTTATAGCCATAAGTAAAATCGCTGCTCATGCGCTGCCTCTGTCGGCAGCGCTGCCCGCAGCTGTTGTTGTTGTTGCTGCTTTGGTTCAACTTTGTGCTGCATACATACACGCATATAAACACGCATAGGTACGTGATGTAAATGTATGCTGTTAAAACTAAACATAAACATATATTCTAATTTAATTTAATTAATTAATTCATTAATTTTTTTTAATAATTTAATTTTTTTTTTAATTTTTTTTTTTTTAATTTTTCTTTTTTTGTGGAGAGTACAGGCTATTTTACTGTCGGGCTTGCTCGACTGTAGCGTTCTATCTTGTTTTACTTTAGAGCGCAGCAACCGGTTTAGGCTGATTAGCAAATTTGTTGTTTAATATCAACCGAATATTTTTGTAACAGACTGCCAAATGGAAAGAATATACATTATTGGCGATAAATGGATTTTTTTATATTGATAAAACCAACTTATAATCGAACTCTAAAATGTTCCTTTCAGTACAAAACAGTAAAACTATCTTGAAGAACGTTATTGAAATCTTTGTAGAGCACGTCTTTATTTAAAGTAAAAAGCAACATCTTTTAAGGACTCTCTATGAATTGTTTATATTGTATTATATTTCCAATACCTTTAGATGATTTCTATTGCATAATTTTTCTCTTTTCCTGATCAATCTTTGCCATGTTTACATTAATTATGTAAAAAAATGTTAATAATTATCAATTTAGATTCAAAATTAAAAGACCAATAAAAAACCTATTCAATTTCCAGATTACAGAAGCCAGAGAGGGAATCCAATGATATCTTAATTAACGCGTTGTATAAACTATCAAGTATCTGAATTATAGCTCCCTAAATAAGATATCATAAATAGTAATTTAGGTGGCACTTGCTTGGAAAATATCGCCGTAATCGAGTTTCAAT